GGCGTGGTAATTATATGAAATTCCATCAATGCAGCCTACTGATACACTTCCCCACACCATTCTCGTATTTTGTCGTTTCTACCTTCTACTCTCTCTCTCTCTCTGTTGTATATTTCGTTCGTGTCGTTATCTCTTTTTTTTTTGTCTCTTTCCGACTCGTATCCGTTCGTTGCCATACTTAAATTATATAATCTCATTTTACACAACAAACCCACACACATCCACACACACAATTTTGCTAATCTATCATTTGAAATCCATGTCTTTTACTCTAAACCGTACCTGTTCCGCACGTACCACCGTAACCCGCAACCAAACCCAAACAAATTGTTGTTGTCACCAAAAAAAAACCAAAAACCTATAAAAAAAACACGAAAAAACCAAACCACATAAAACACACAACGAAATGTGTCAATTAAAAATGGAAAAAAATCGAAAATTGCACGCATATAGTTGGGACTGTCGTCCGCCGCCATGGAACGTAACAAGACTAAGGAACAATTGGAGGAGGAGAAGAAGATCTCGTTGTCGTTCCGCATCAAGCCCCTCGCTATCGAAGGCTTTGGCGAGCAGAAGCTACGTGAGAAGGCCCAGGAACTGTGGGAGCTCATCGTCAAATTGGAAACTGAGAAGTATGACTTGGAAGAAAGGCAGAAACGTCAGGACTACGATGTGAGTATCTATCCATATATGTATATAAAGCTGCAGACAGTGCCTACAATAAATAAACATACGCCTGCAGTTGAAAGAGCTGAAGGAAAGACAGAAGCAACAGCTCAGGCACAAAGCCTTGAAGAAGGGTCTCGACCCAGAAGCTTTGACTGGCAAATACCCGGTAAGTGCCGCTATCTCTTCCTTGTCTAGTCCAGCTATTGACCACATAACTTCGATTTGATTACAGCCCAAGATTCAAGTCGCCTCCAAATATGAGAGACGTGTGGATACCCGCTCATATGACGACAAGAAGAAGCTCTTCGAGGGTGTAAGTATTCGGCTAGCCAGTGCAGACCATTGGCATTGGTCGTGGGTTTTATACCAAGAACGTCTAGTACAACCGCAACTACGGGTTCTTTTTGCACTCTTCTCTCTATGTTATTATCCAATATAGGGCTATAATACGGTGTATGCGGAAAACTTAGAAAAGTCATGGCAAGAGAAACAGGAAAGGTTTACTCAGCGCACAAAATGTAAGCGCGCAAAAGTACAAACTGTTGAGAACTCACTCTCTCTCTCTCTGTCTCACTGTCTCTCTCTTTGTACAAAATCTCAATGTTTATATATATTTGTTTGAAATCTGTTTACGTCTTTGTCCTTTGTACTGTTCTGTACTATTCGTACCTGCATACATACTATATTCAATGTTTTGCCAAGGGCACCGCCAAAGTGACCTGAAATCGACAATAACAATACAATCATTAGACAGTCAATCAGTCAATCAATCAGTCAGTCAGTCAGTCATTTAGCCAGTTAGATAGCCAATCAATATAGATGAACAATCTCCGGGGTTACGATATACACAGGACATTTAGCTATCAGCGATATCACACTTAACGTCTGCTCTTTCTCTCTTTTATCTCTTTCTATGTTCTGTACACTATATTTTATAATTGTTGTCAACTGTACTTGTGTGTTCCGTACACTACATGCTATAAACACACACATACGCAACACAAACACACACACCTTTGGGAGACAGGGCTGGGATGAGATCAGCAAGGATGTGAACGAGAAGATCTGGAACGAGAAGAAGGAACAATACACCGGCCGTCAAAAATGTATGTACAGCAATTGCCCAGTCCACCTGGCACACTTGGCACACTTGGCACTGTACTGCACCTAGTACTATATAGTCTGGTACTACTGTACCGCAGGGAAAACACTTTTAACCTGTCATCAATTTGTTCATTGTCGTGCCATGTTTTCCATGTCTCCATTCGCTGTCTTCGTATACCTTGATAATATTGGTTTCTATTTTAACTTTCTCTCGATATAGCCAAACTGCCAAAGTGGTTCGGCGAACGACCAGGCAAGAAGGCAGGTGAGCCCGAGACACCCGAGGGTGAGGAGGATGCCAAGGCCGACGAGGATATCGTTGAGGATGAGGATGAAGTCGAGGAGGAGGTCGTCGAGGAGGAGGACGAGGAAGCCGAGGAAGATGAAGAGGAGGAGGAAGAGGAAGAGGAGGAAGAGGAAGAGGAGGAAGAAGAGGAGGAGGAAGAAGAAGAGGAGGAAGAGGAATAAATAAATAAATACAATTTTTTCGTAAAACTACATTTAAACAAAAACCAAAGAAGAAAAGAAACCAAAGCCATCAATTTTAATAAAAGTAAAAGAATGAACTAAATACTCACTGTTAGCTTATTCGAACTACTCAAGAACAAGCAAAACATGAAAAGTACCACTTTTTTTATTGAACAAGAAATGTACATTTCTTCCAAATAAAACATCAACACCAACTAAAAGAAAAAGAAAAAAAAAACAAAAACAAGAAATTAAAGTGTTATACCATCATATCTATGAACAATTTTTTTTTTTTGATTGAATTATCTGTGCTGGGCTGTGGATAGACGATCTTTAGCGATAGCTAGTTGGGCAATTGGGAGTAGTGAAAGCGGTGGCTACTTCTGTAGATACTACTTTGAAATCTCAAGGACCAAATGCCACACAATTGATTCACAGTCAGATAATATTGGCTTATGTTGCCGCTGTGCTTCAGGTGAATGTTGTAAACTGGAAATATTTTGGCATAGCTGGCAGACTCTAATTTGGTCTATGGAATATTGCGAAATGCGAGGTGTGTTCGAAAAGTGTTGAATTTAGACAAGTTCGGCATTTTTAAGCATATATTTTCTTATGGCGTTACGCTGCTACTCATAGCTTTAGCAGATTCAAGTATCTCGATTCAGTTTTGATGCAATTTTAATTAACATTGATAACTTTAAGCGACAAACTCGAGTCTCAGATTTGAGTGTGCAAAACTTGAGTCAACTTTGAGAAAGCTACAACAGTTTCAAGTAGCAGTTTGGGCTGCTTTACAATTGTTTTTAAAGGTCGTAAGAATCCTTAAATTAAAGCTTAAAAAATCGCAAAAATAATCACGAACATGTTTTCTTGAATTTTTAACTGTTATTATTTATTTGTATTTTGTTTTTGAATTTTTAGAATATATTTAATATATTTTATTTAATTTATGCTTTCCATCTTCTGGCTGTTGTTGCTGTTGTGGTTGTTTGTCTTGTTGTTGTTTTCAATAAATATTGTACAATTCGCTTAGCTTAATCTATTATTCTGCATGTGTGCTATCTATGTATGCTTTGTTTCATGTGTTTCTTATTGATTTAATGACAGTTCTCTGTGTATTGCATCTGTAATTCTATTTTCATGAATTCCCATTGGATCTGGCAGCGTGTGCACGCGAACAGCTTAGTTACAATTTTGAGATAAATACATCAATTTAAATTTGCTAAACATTCATTTAGATTCATTTAGTTATATATTTTTTTCTTTTTTTTTTTTGGTTTTCTTTTAAGTATCTTTGAGCTTTGATTGTCTGTCAGCTGCAAGCACGCTGCTTCCCCTCACACCCACAATTATTTTTTATGTTATGACATTCACTTATATACATACGTAGTCGTAGCTTTTTAGTGCCTAGATTAATCATATATAGATATATATCGATTTGCAGCAACTGCCTATGGGATTTTTTTTTGGGTAAATATTTAAAACATAGTTTCCCCCTTAAGAAGCTAACAAAAATAGTTTACAGTTGAATTCACAATTGATTTACACACACACACACATACATGCATGCATGTGTGTGTATATATTTGTATATGCACTTAAAAACTGTGCGCCACGAGCATGAGGCAAACAGCAAATATTTGACAATATTGTTTTATTATTTTTTTTTTTTATGTTTTTCTGCTGTTTTGTTAATTTGTTTATTTTTTGCGTATTTCTTTTTCATTTATTGTCAGCAATTATTTTTTTATATTTTTTAACAATGCGCAAAAACGTAAATATAAACAAAAAGTTGCTATAGACTTAAGCTAACGGTAAGTACATGCTTGCTATCTCTTTCGCACACATACACACACACAGAGACGCACGCATACACCACGCACACACGCGTGGGGACGGAGAGCAGCGCCATCGGCTGTGCGTGCGTACCACAGTGCCTGCTAAACAAAAACATACGAAAGACACTATGAAAAAAAAAAACACATTCCCCAGAGTTTATTTTAATTAGAACTAAGCCCTATAAACATCAACAGCTCTTACATTTAAGGCCTAGGCGCGTTCGTAGTCCTGTTTTCAGTTTAGTTATAAATACATTCGTCTTTCCTTCTTTATTTCTTATGTCACACATATACATGCACACACTGTACGACACTTGTAACTTTTACTTTAATTAACATTAGACATTTATATGCGTATGTGTATAAGTGTATATGTATGTAGTATGCACATCATATATACATATACATATAGATATACATATATATATATATATATGCAGATGCTACATTCAGTCAATTTATTGCAACAAAAAAAAAAATCGTTTATTTAAAAAAAATTGTTTATATGTATATATATATATATAATTATATTATGCTATGCTTAAAATTGTTTAAGCTTCTGTTTAACTATAATTTTGTATAAATATATGCACACATGTTTTGTTAATGTATTTCAAATATCGTTATTAAAAGCTCTTTAAAATGTTCTTTCTTCCTCTTTTTTATTTTTTGTTTTATTTGAGATTCAGAAAAAAATGTGTATAAATTTATTAGAAAAAAAGTTAAATGAAAACTTGTTTCACCTCGCAAACTGTACAAAATTAAATTACAAAAGATATGATAAAAAAAAAAAAAAAAAAAAACAATATTAAAAGTGTCGAAAAAACGTTTATAAAAGTCCTCTTAAAAATTGGCCAAAGGCTGTATAAAAATTAAATATATATATATATTTATATTTAAATGTACAATTTACGCATCTTTTGTTTTTTAACAGTATTGTGGGAATAGTACATAAAAGAGGAGCTTAGCAGTGAGCGCGCCCTGCAACGATTTCTATTTTTATTTATTATTATTATAATTTGTTTGTTTACGTTTTCTATTTGTTTTTGGTGGTATTTACTAAACATCTTTAACTTATGTTTACATCAATATTAAGTATATGTATAAAATGGTGTCTTCAATGCGGTAAATGTGTCTTTAAAGTGATTAAACGTATAACACACACACGCGCATGAGCAACTGTGGCAAGCATGTATCATATATCTAGATATCTAGATATCTAGATATATATATCTAGATATATATATGTATATATATCAGCATATGCATATGCGTTTACCAAAGCATAATACAATTTGAAATTGGTTTGCCAACATTTGATGCTTGTCTGTTGCCATGCGCATTGTTGCTGCTGTTGTTGTTGTTGTTGTTGTTGTTGTTGCTGGTGTCAGTGTGTGTTGTCATCGTCGTCTCAATGTTTGCCGCGTGGCAATCTTATGGGTATATGCGGATATCATGTGTCCTCCAATGCACCGACATATTGCTTGCCATTGTTGTTATTGTTGTTGCTGTTAAAGTTTGACGGCATCTGCTTTATCGTGATGACATCCTTTGGCTTCTGTTGTTGATGCTGCTGCAGTAGCAGTTGTGATTGCTCCTGCTCCAACTCTTGCTCCTGTTGCAGTTCCTGATCCGCCTGCAACAGTTGCTGTTGCTCTGTCATTATTTTATTGTTAATATTCTCATCATTGTTGTGGTTGTTGTTGTTGTTGTTGCTGATGCTGTTGATGTTGTTGTTGATGTTGATGTTGTTATTGTTGTTATTATCATCTGATTTGGAGTCCATCTGCAGAACTTGCTTGGCTTTACTTTCCCATAGCATTCGATTGGCTTTTAGCTACATCGAAGGTAGTGGAAGAAGAAGAAAATATGCATAACATGAATACGAATACGACTTATAAACACCATCCCCACACACACCACTAGAGCCATGCATACATACATACACACATATTGACATATGCAAATGTACAGAAATATGCATATTTTTATTTGAACATTATTTCTGTTTGATACACAGCGCAGTCGAGAGCTGCAGCTGCAGCTGCTCGGATTATTTATAGTCTGTCATTTATGCATTGTTGCTGTTATTGTCAATATGTTGTTATTGCTGCTGCTGCTGCGGCTGCTGCAAAGCACATTAATGGGGCTTAGTCTAGCCTTAACGAGCAGCCACGGAGCAAAGGATTATGCAGCCCCAAGGTAAGTGCTGCAGTCTTTAAAGCAAATTAATCTTCAATCATAGTCAATTATTAAATCAATACCATTCAACTAAATATATATATATATTGAATGGAGTTGAGCGAATTAATTGAGCATGGTAAATGGTTTTATGCTCTGGCACGCCGCACGTCGGCTGTCATTTAATATGTTTGTTCCATTCATTTTTAATTTAATTTTTCATTTTTTTCCACAAATGAAACAAATTTTGATAATACATCCGCCCGCTTTATTGCTGGCGATAAAAATGCAATTTCCTTTTTTTTTCTGTTTTTTAAATTCGCAATTAACATAAATTACGCACATAAAATATAATTGGCGGCCTTTCAATTGATTATAATTGCAGTTGACGCCTTTAACAGAGCGACAAACTGATATATGTATTTGTATTTGTATTTATATTGTGTGTGTGTGTGTTGCACATAGTAAACTGGCATTGCTAGCATCTCTGTTGCTGGCATCTACCGCACAGGTTGCTGCCTGCAGCTTAAATTGGCATTTATGCCGAAGCATCCCAACCACCGGAACCACTCGACCACCGTCAAGCGTTTCATCTGCGAAAATGCAGATATTCGTGCTGTGATAGCTGCAGCGGCTGTTGCAGCAGCAGCGTAAAAATCAAAGCTGCAGCCGAAATCATTTCAAATGCAACGCTTTCAACCGCAATGGCAACTGCAACTGCAAGTGCAGCTGGCGCAACTGCGACACGTGCAACACCTGCAGCTGGCAGGTAAATCAAGCGGCCAAGCGTAAGAGGCAATTCATGCTACAGCCGCTGCCGCTGCCGCTGCCACTGCCACTGCCGCTTGTGTGTCAGTTGCTTGCAAATTTTAATTTATGAGCAGTCCTCGAGCAAATGTCGTTCTCAGTTTTCAGTTGCAGTTGTCAAGCCTCAAGTGCATCGCAACCAAGTAACAAGCGGCAGGCAGCAGGCGGCAGGCGGCACTCAGAGACTCAACAAAGCTGCTCTAATTAATTAGCCGCTAATTTAACGCGTCTGTGGCAAGCAGCTGCGCAGGACTCTCAACTGAACAGGATATGCCTCTAGGTTGCCACCGTTGCCCGCACAGTGGCAAAAGCAACGGCAGCAGCAGCAGTTGCATGTAATTTATTATTTGGTTCATAATGGAAAATTCTTTTGGCTTCCCAGCCTCGACAGCTAAATTGCAACAAGAACTATTTAATGCGCTGCGCATATATAGCTATAAATATTTCAATTTATATCCATGTATATATATATATATATAATATGTATATAGCTGCATGTGTATATGATTATGTAAATCTGGATCCAGTGCTTGCTGCATTAGCTGCATTAATCAAAAATGCAAAAACATTTGGTTACTGGCTGCAAATTTGCATATTTTGGCATACTCTCTATATTTGATATAAAGTTTGCTTGTGAAATGTGGATTCTGTGGATTCATGACTATAGCTTCGTATACTACATGAACACACTATGGGTAAATTTCTTAATGGATTGTATAGAGTGAGCAATTCTTGAGCCGATTTACAAAGTTCTGTATATATATATAATTTATATACATATATATATATACAGATAATACATTAAATATGAAGTTAAACTAATGTTAAATAATTTTTTTTTCTCCTTTCTCAGCCACTACTATTTTTATGAACAAGTTGCATTCTAAGTATATATAAGAAAAATGTTAATCCACTTAATACTCGTTTTAAAAATATTGTGTTTATCACTACATTTTGTTGCCCATCTGTGCTCATTCGCACTACAATTTTAATGAACGCAGCTGTATATAAATATATGCATATATATAAATTGGCTAAGTGTGCCCTGAAGTCATGTATCTGATTCAACAATAGGCAAACGTCATTATTATCATGGCTATCGATATGGCAACACAATATGCATATGCAGATGGCATATGTGTGCGTGTGTGCGTGTGTTTGTGCCCCCAGGAAGCGGAGCTTCAAAGACCACAGCAACAACAATGGCGACAATAGCAGCAGCAATGCATGTTTAAGTGCCTGGAATAAATAAAAATACAACAAAACAAAACAAAAAATAAAAGAAAAATATAAAAATGAAAGAAAAAAAATTTCACAAGTGCAAAAAAGGCGAGTGCAAGAAACAAACAAACAAACAAACCAACAAAATAAAATAAAACAACACAAAAAATATATAAAATCGTGTGTAACAAGCTATAAGGCTCTTCTCTCGCTCTCTGTCGAGTTGACCAAATTAGCCGATGCTCTGCAAAGAGCGACATTCGTCGAATATATTTAAGATTTGTTGCTGCCTGCTGCAGTTGGGCAGGTTCGAGAAGTTTTACATGCAGATGTCAACAGTTGTCCTTAAATTCATTTAGGCCAAATTCATTTAAGCGCGCTCTCTGTAGCAGCATAAGTGGCTGCATCATAGTAAAGCCGCTTTGGTGATAGTCAACAGAGCTTTAGTTTAACAGAGCTTTTGCGCAAAAGAATGAGGAAAGCTCAACGACACGTTATCTGCGAATATGGCCAACAATGCTAAAATCGCTGCCACAAAGCAAGAGTGCAAAATATGGCAATGACAGAAGCCAATGGGAGCGACAAAGAGCCCAACAACTGCAACACACCAACAACAACAACCACAACAACAACAACTATGGAGACACAAAAAATGTGGAGAGGAAAAAAAGATGACAATGAAGATGGCAACACAAAATGTTAACTGGAACGACAACAAAAAGGATGGCCGCCATGTTGAATGCTTTGGGGATATCCGCATCCGGACATGGCTGATCGGGGTGGCAGGCGAGAGCGTGAATGGAAATGAAAATGGAAATGGAATTGGGTAATGGTCGAGAGGTTGATGAAGTCGTCGTCGTCGTCGTCGTCGTCGTTGTGTGTGTGTGCGTGTGTGCGTGTGCGCCGTGCACCATGCCGGACCGATTGACTAACACATCTGACTGACGCTGCGACTGTCTGCCTGTCTGATTGTTTGTTGCACATACCTTAGATGTATTGTCCTGCACCCATGCATCTGGCTTACCGTAGTCCGGCGGATTCGCATACGGATCGTAACCCAGCACGGAGAGCATGGGCGCAATGTCAGCCATATCGCGCACCACATCGCCGGGTATATGGCCCACCCACTTGGAGAGCGCCTCCAGATTGACTGGCTTGATGACCTGGTCCGATGACCGCTCCACTCTAACAAATGCCGCATCAACAAAACAAAAAAGTTGAAAACGTTGCACAATTGCAATTAGCTGCTGGGGCAGCCAAATGTTGCAGCTACTCACTTGGACAGCGGCACACCGTTCGGCTTGTTGATGAACTCCTCGTGATGCAGCACCGCACTGTTCCACGGCACGTCCAAGAACTTCAAAATATTGCGCATCCATTCCTCCGGATGCAGCACCAGCTGCTCATAGTAAACCTAAAAGGAGGAAATGGAAAACTAATTAAGTAATTCAAATAAATAATTATGGCACTTCGTGTATTTAGTTACTAATATTAAATGTTTTTAGTGGCTTAATAAAATATATTAAAATTATTCCGTTTAATTTTGTAATTACTTTTGGTACTTAGCTCACTCCTAATTACGATTGAAAGTAATTAACTGCCTTAACAGCAATGAGCACGGTCATAAATTTCAATATGCTTAACGAGATTTTCAATTATTGCGGCCGTAACTAACAATTACAAAACACAAATCAATGCAAAGCGCAGCCTCCGAGCGGCGCACATAAATTATGCTAATGATAATAATTAAATGATGTAATTATAATTAAACAACAAATATAGATAAGGGTGGAGTCCAACTCTTTCCGATAATTACAGATTCCAGCAGCTGCACAGTTATCGATAACATATTTAAAGCACTGTGAAAATTTATAATGAATTGCCTATGAGTAAATCAATTTATTACAATTATTTTGATGAAAGCGCGAATTTGTCAGCGCTTAAATATTTTTCAATTGTTTTCTCTCTCAAAATCTCAGCTCAAGTTCTGAGTTTCGGTTAACAAGACATAAGACCAGAAGGCCAACACAGGCACATATTGAGAAGAGCTCTTAAGCTAAAACAAAATGATATATTGAAGAAATGTAAACACTTTAACATATGTTATTCTAGCATCTATTAATAATTAACTCAAGTGAGAATGAAAAAATTCTTTTCTGCCTTGTGTCTCTTTGTTTGTGCCAAGCGTCCGATTGGCAATTGGCAACTGTCAACTGTCAACTGTCAAGTGTCAACGTTGAACAGTGAGCTGCCAACTGCCAGCCGACACCTGGCTGCTACTCACCATCATGCATCGATCCTTGCCAATGTCGCGGCACTGCTCGTGCATTAGCTCGATGGCGTGATTCCATTTCTGCATGCACTGGCGATAGCTGCTCAGATCGAAGCCGGTGATTGTCACCTTGCGGGATATAATCGAATGCACCGTTGCACGTCCGTCCCGCACCATGAATAGAAACTTTGCCTAAACATATAGAAACGAGAGAGTACATACAAATACTTTCACATCGTCGTGTAGCAGTCGAGTGTGCTGGTTGCTTACATTGGGAAATAGCTCGATTACATAGGAGCCCATTTTGAGAGTCAGCGGATCCTTGTTACATAGGCGTGGCGCCGGTTCGCCATGTTTCGCAATGATTTCCAAGCAGAATTGCGCTATGGCACTGTTCATGACCTCCTTGGTGATGCCCGCCTCCTGCAGGCGCAGCGATTCCTTTTCGGACTTTAGCCAGTGCGAGCGCAGCTGCAAAATGCGCGGAATGACGCGCGTCTCCTGCCCGCAGCTAAATGGATGAGACATACAAAAGCGAATAAGCAAGAACAGTGCAATGCAGCACAGCAGTCCGGAACGATAAATGAAAGGTAAAAGATGTGTGTGGGAGGGGGAATGGGAATGGACCATGTTACAAAACAGCGAAACAACAATGATGTTTGATATCGCTAGCATAGCTGGGCTTTTAAACGAAGCGCGCTCTATGCCCGCATCACGCCTCAAAACAATCCAGCTTTGGGCTTTTGCTAATGCAATCGACTAAATGTTAGCGCTCACTTGACTCGCCTCGCCTCGCCTCGCCTCGCCTTGCCTTGCCTCGCCTCGATTCTGGCGCACTCAACATTCAACATTGAAGCGTTAAATTGCAACATTTTCGACCCAACAAGAAGCAGCTGCCCGCCCTGCGCTTGGCCTGAAACTTCTTTTCGCCTTTCGCCCTTTTAATGCGCAAATTAACAGCATCCAATCAGCAGTTGAGCTGCCACTTGGCAACAATTTGAGGCAGTGTTGAGCTGCTCTAAAGCATGTTGTCTAGCCGCAACCACTAAAATTTGCGCAAAATCAATTAGGCTGCGTGCGTCCAGGTCAGTTTATGTTGAATATTTTAATTACATTCCCTGGATGCAATAATTATGAATTGCTTGTCTGCAATAAGCGAGAAACCAGCCGGCCTGCATGTGCATGCGAGAGACTAACTGAATTTCAGTTAAAGCAATTAAGCCCGTTACGGGCTTGGCTAATAATTGTTGCATACTTTTCAGAGGCCTCCGATGGGGCTTTTGCATAAATATTGATATCAAACAAGCAACTGTAAAAGCAGAAATATTTTATCTCATCAATGCTTTGGCTGCAATAACAAAACATAACAACAAATTTGTTGGCAGGCTAAAATTGGTTTGATTAAAATGCCAAAGTCAGATTCCTAAAACTGATTTCGAACGACAAAATTTGATTAGAAATGAAAGCAATTTATGTTAATAAATATTTTAAATTTAAATTTAAAGCATTCAAATATCTCACTGACAGTCCACATTTCCTTTTATTGTTTTTCATTTTCATTAATTAATTTTTTTATTTATTCCGATGTGCCAAAATGCCTTGCAAACGGACGGACAGCAATTAAACATTGCATTACTCAGAACTAATATGCGCTATTCACTTTGTGAACGAGTATGAAGAGCAGCAAATTCTGCGATCTGTAGACAGAATAAATGTGAAGCTTTACGCAGAGTTCGGGCAAAGCTTTTCGTAGCCAATCTACATAGACTTTATATGTGTGAATACATTCAGTGATCTGCAGATATAAGGAAACTCTTAATGACTTCAACATAGACTTTTGTTATCATCTGCCATATATATCTTACATATTCAGTCAGTTAGCTATGATCGGTAGACAGCAGGTTTGCTCCTTCTGATAGGCCAATCCTACAACTTTGGCTACTTTTACATACCCTTTATATTAGCTATCACATATTTAAAATATTAAGCGAGCTGTGATAGGCAAACCAATTTCAGCTAGTAAGATCTGTAGAACAGTCAGGAAAAATCTCTTTCTATCATCAATATCATATCTCGTTCACAATTCATTTGCTTTCATATGAATTCCTCGTTAAATTCTCTTTTTACGCCGCTTGAATCCGTGCCAGAGACTATCGCATCGTATTTTAAATGACTTTATTGCTTTGCGGATTCCATTTGGTCGTTACTCACTGAGGGCCATTTAAGCGAGTTGCGCAAGCAAAAGCCAACTGTGGACATTTCTTGGCGTTCATTGGGTTTCGGGTGCCATGAGTCACTGGGAAATTCCACAATTTTCTAACTCGAGTTAGACAAAGCCCCGGCAAAGCTCTACAAATATATATAATCTTGGAGCAATTACATGCGCGTGGCTTATATGCAAATCGGACGAACAAAAGCTAACGAGGCCAGCGCAAAAACATTGGATTCATCCCTACAGACACATACACACACACACACACATACACACACATGGATGCTCGTATCTGTATCTGTACATGCAGGCGTATCTGTATCTGCGCTGGCACAAATTTAACTAAAGGCGTCCCTGGCTCTTGCGGGGCGGAAGTAAGTTTTTAAATAGCGGAAATTGTGCTGTGCAGCCATCAGAAAAAGTGGCGCTGACTGCTGTCAGCAGCCAGGAGCCAGCAGCTCAGCAGGCCAATAGCCCAGTAGCCCAGAAGTCAGAAGTCGGAGAGAGAGCGCGAGCGAAAGAGAATGAGGAAGTAGCGTAAAATGCAAATTGTTAATAAAATAAGCAGGCAAAAGTCGACACCTAACAGACCCCATCGCCTTTTGATGTCCTTTGTATCGTCGTAATGCAGTCTCTCTCTTCGCTACGGACCCTTTAGCCTGCCACATGTAGCTGGCTGGCTGGTGTCGGGCTTAGTGCACAAAGGACGTTAGCAGCGAAAAAATTCGTGGCTAATTACTCATGCGTAAACTTAAACTTAACAATCTAATTCATGCTGCGATGCCAACTGCATAGACATAAGTCTGAAGCCCCCACACTGCCAACTGGACAGCAATTTTTAGCCATCTATCATTTCAGAGTCCCCAGTGGCACGCCAGTGCTATCTATCGCTTCGCTATGTAATACATATATAAAAGATAACATTTTGATATAGTTGAAAAATAAATAAACACCTGCCACGCCGATTACGTGCTGCACACAGTTATTTTGTGTGCAGTGCTTTCGCTTCGACTATCATTTCCATAATGCCAGCAATGCCAACAAATTCCTGTTTGTCTTTATAAGGTAATTATTTGTAAGAGGATTAATTTGGCTCAGAAATGCGTAAATTGTTCGACGAGAAATTGGAAAATGATTTGATTACAGTTTTTGGAACTACTATTTGTCATAATAGTTTGTTAATTATATTATACATAGAAACTCTGCAAATCTTCTCTTTGCTAGTTGGGGCAACTGCTATACCAAGGCAACTGATTTGCCAAGTGTAAAAGCGCTTTTCGGTTGTCATGCCAGGCGTGTCTGACCTGTTGCCTTTGTTAGTTGTGCATTGTGTGCCGAAGAAGCCATTCGGATGGGGTTGCGTGGACAGAAGTGTTCTGAGCTCTCAGTTCTAAGTGCTGATTGTGGGTCGGTTTTCAAGCATGTGTTGATGAGGCGCCAGGGCGTTGGAGCGTTGGGGAGTTGGGGAGCTGGGGAGTTGGACAGCCAGGGAGCAATGTAGGCTGCTTTTGGTGTAAACTTACCGCACATCGGGATGAGCATCCAACATGGCGCGCATTAATGTCGTGCCAGACCTGGGCACGCCACCTATGAATATTAATGGCATCTCACGGTTGTATGAATAGGAGCGTTGATTGTCATCTGTGACGTATTTCTAGATGGCGCAAAAACGGGACGAGAAAATATAATCAAAAAAAGTGGCAAGCAAAAAAATTAAATTAGAGAAAAGTTGCAGGCAAAAATTACGTGTGTCTCCACGACGATAATGATGATAATTATGAGAAGGAGCAGCTGTTGGCAGCGTGCCTGAAGGATAGCGACGATGTCGCCAAGGTGCCTAAGGCAGCTGTCAACTGAATTTGCGTTGCCCACACTCACTCACACACACCCACACCTATCCTTATATACGTGAGTGTCTGTGTGTAGGTATTGGTAACAGCAGCCCGTTAACCTTTGGCGTGCCTGTCGCATTAATGTCAATTTAAAGGATTTTCGTGCGCATCTAAAAAATGCTTGGGCCGAGGCGTTCTACTCAGGAATCTAAGCCCATAATACGAGCCGCCGCTTTAACAACTTACTCATTGCGAACAAAATATGCGTGAAATTATGTTAAGGAGAAGTGAAAATATATAAAAAAAAATTGTCGAACTTTCAATACTCTAAGCAGAGACATTAGAAGCTGCAGAAATGTTCTAATGGAAATATCTGTTGATTATATCGACTAATTAATGGATATATATCCGGCTGTATATCGCATAGAAGTTAAAGTCTGTTAAGGGAAACATTTGATTTATATATAAATATATAAATAAATATATATATATATATATAAATATATATATATATATAAACATAGAAGCTTATCTATTACATAAGTCGCAGCTGTTGCTGCTGCACAATTCATGGGAAATGTCGACTGCCCGGGCGAGAGTGTATAACAACATATTTTGTTGTTTGCTGAGAGATTCGGCAATTGGTTAACACTGTGGTTTCTCCCACCCAGTTTGGGCGCTGTTAGTCAGCAGTTTTAATCGATGCGATAAGGCGAAACTCTAGCCCGTCCGTCCGTCCTTATCGGCAGACTGCTTTGATGAGATAAGAATGCGACAAGCGCAAACAGAATGTGCCCCAAGACTGAATTATTGATCTGAACAATTTGATTGAATTGGGGGCAAGCACACAGTCCGGGTCAAAAGGCTTAAGTGCCTCAATAAGAGTGCAACTTAAATTCAATTAAATAACTAACAAAGGAAAGCCCTGTTCTCCAGCGTTCCAGCTGCAAGTCTAAAAGTTGCAAATTTGGCTGAAAATGCAGTCGGAATTGGTCTCGCCCACTCATAGAGTATAGCGCGTGTGTGTGCACGCTTTCCACCTGATCGGCTTCCAGCTGAAGTGTGCAGCAGTAAATCAAGCACGGCAGGAACGATTGGGCAAAAATCGCAGCTATTGTTGCCATTTGGTCAACTAATGTTTACAAAATGGTGCTCGGCCAACCGATAACCAGCAAATCCCCCAATGACTTTGCATCGCTTGCGGTTAGGGTCAGCGTGTGCAGTCAACATGAAATTAGTTGTACAGTCCTTTGAGGTCCAAGATGGGAGCGACACATCCATAGCTATCGATGCTTTCACTTTGCTGGCCACAATTTGATTTATCATTGGCAATCTTTGGCGTTGGTTTAATACCAATGTATGTGTTCTTAAGTGTAAATAAACTGTGTGTGTGTGTGTGAGTATATAGTGTGTATATACATCAGTTATATAGATATATATATATACATATATATGCTTACCTCCATACGCATCATTTGTGATGGCAAATCGTTTGTGGCATCCAGCTTGAATAGACAGGTGGGACGCAGCTCGGTGAATTTGAATAGGAACATTGTGACGACAATTATGCCAAATAGCACCCAAAGGGTGACTTTCTTATTGCGATATGGCAGCCGCATTCTATCCAGCTGCTGGCGGCCAACTGAGGTGTGAAGCTAAATGCTTTTTTGATTTCGATCCAGCAACGGGCAGCAGCTTCACTGACTGCACTTGACCCGTCTATTTGTATTGCCTTATTGATTCAAATGACTGACTGACTGACTGACTGGCGGCCCGATTGTCAGCAGTTGGCTTCTGGCTGGGCTGCCGGACGCTACAAGCTTAAATATGTAAATTGGTTTCTTTAGCTGTTGCTTACAAGTTTTCGTTTGCTTTCTTCGAGAGTTGCTGCTTCTATTTGCACTTGGCTGCCTTTCAGCTGCTGCTGCTGCTGCTGCTGCTGCTGCTGCTGCTGTTGTTGTTCCGGTTAAAATTACTGCCGTTTGTTGTGCTTAGTGTTGTTGCTGTTGGTCTTAGATACCACGGCTATGATTGCGTCTTTGGCATTCGCCTTGCTTTAGCTTCAGCTTGAGCTCCTGTTTCTGTTCCTTTGTCCGCTGCTGCTGCTGTTTATGATGTTGATTGCTTTGCATTTCCTCGACTGTGCCTCAGCGTCTCAGGAACTCTCTGTGCGGTCAGCGTGGACCAACAGCCGGCAGTGGCAGTGGCTGTGGCGCTGGCTGTAGCATCAACTAAATCTGTGATTTCAATATTCTACACTCGACTACAAATTTCTAACAGCTGGCGCCTGGGTTCTGTTATTTTTGCTCTTTTCCGTTTCTTTTTTTTCCGGTTAATTTTGTTATTTATATCGTTTACGTTGCTTTCATGCTCTGTGCTCTGCGCTAACTGCGCTATTTTTATTGAATTTAAACATATTTACTTAGGCAAATTATGTTTTATATACTCCCACGGCTTGTGCAAAGGACATGCGCTTAAGGATCTCTAGCTTCCACAGCGTAAACTCTTTCACCCTTTCACTCACTCACTCTCTCTCTCTCTTCCTCTTTCTCTATCTATCTCTGTCTATTTGTATTTACTTTTCGTTTTAATACTTTTTATATGCCCAGCGTGTCCCCCGGATGGTTCCTTTTCAGTGAGCGTAGCTGCAAGTGAAAAACTTCAGTCATAAGCATATTTAAATAGTTTTCAAATTATTTGCAACCGACTTTGTGTATGGATGCAACGACTGCCTGGCCCGGCCTCGCCTGGCTCTCTGCCTAGAGCTCAAAATTGGGCTACGCCTGCAGTATTCAGTGTTCAGAGCACTACTCTTCGCTCCTTTACGCGCACTCAACGACTTTCGACTGACAGCGGCGACTGCCTTCAAGTGACTACGCACCTTTTAGAACAGCAGTTTCCAACTTCGGCTTCAGCTCGAAACTCTCAACTGCAATTCCAATTTCAATTGTGATTATGACTCTTCTGTTGGCTGTTGGCTGCTGGCTGCTGACTGCTGTCTGCTCGCTGTTGGCTGCTGTCTGTAGTCTGGCAAGTGTTTTTTTAGTTATCGTTCTTGTTGTTGGCTGTATGTTGGCTATTTGCTCAGTTGTTCACAAATAGCTGCCAGCCCAAAAACTTAATGAGCTGAAATGCCAAATAGACTGGAACCAATGTTAGTGATATATACACATAATAGCTCCAATTGCCGGTTATTTCCTCCGTCATAGCTGTCAATGAAGAGAAAAAGAAGGACTACTATTAAAACAATTGTCAAAATGCAAACACTCAAACAAACTAAATAGAAAAGATACTTTGATGACAGCCACAAGACACAGAGCACCCAACCAAACGAAACGACCAGAGCAAACACAGTTCGATGGAACGGCAAACAAAGCCAAACAACAATGATATATTGTATCATACGTATGTCTATCTGTCTGTATACACACATAAGTAAAGACAGAACGTATGTGCCACACATAATGTCTGTGTAAATAACAGAAGATATCTATATAAATATTCAGTCTGTCTGTCCGGTTGTCTGTCTGTCTGTGTGTCTGCTGAGTATATTTGATTAGAAACATTTATAAATTCCTACAACATACATACAATGCAATATGTTATATGACACATGAGCGTGACTTGTGACATGCATTCCATCGAGCACCTAAGCTGCTTACAGTTGCCCTACACCCAACACCCAACAGCCGACGCTCAACCCTCGATCCCAATTCCAATCCGAATCCCAATTCCAATCCCCAAAGCTAGCGCACTGCCAAGTGATAGCAGCTGAGCAGTTGAGCAGTCGGTTGCCATTCAAGTGCTCAAGTGTCGACCTTATAGTGGCCATATACTTAGTTGAGTACATGATGCCAGCTTGACATCCGTCACAGCATCCAACGCCCGCCAGGGCAATGGCTGCCACTTGAAGCTAACCAGACCCAGTCGCCTGTGCCTTTGCCTTTGCCTTTGCTTTCGCCCTTGCTGTAGCTCAGTTCCAGCTTCAGCTTCTGGACCGCCCAAGTAGCTCTTATTTAACGAGTTAGAATTATATGCTGAAGAGCACTTAAATGCATATCTTATCAATTTTAGCAAAAAGCAAAGCTCAAATGAGTTCGCAATTGATTCAGTAGAATTTTTCGATTGATTTCATAGTAGAACTTTTATAGACAGTCAGAACTTTGTGTTCTATGAGGTCAACTCAATCAATTCTAAATAATTTAATACTGCCAAGCGAAGCTTCGACATAAGGCAACAAGTCTCAAATATTACATGAAAATATTGGTGCCATAAAATGACTTAATATACGAACTAGGCTCAAGCCCAAAGCGAAACTCAAGCCAAATAATATGGCTAATCATATATGCATTAGAGACTAGATTTTAAATTTGCTAAAGAGCCAAATATATATATTTTTAAAATTATAATATATTTAATAAATTTTATATAATTTATTTTTTAAATATATTTTTTAAAAATATTTTTAATTATATTTGTTTTATTTTTATTTTTATTTTATTTATTATTTATTTTTATTTTTTATAATGCATTTACTTTTATATTCTTTATTTACTTAATTATTCTTATATAACTGCTTAATTTTCTTAATATTTGACTTGAGATCTGCTTTAAATTTAGGGCGTACAGCTTTAATCTTGCGACCGCACGCTTAGTCAACTTGTCTGTATTATCTTTTAATTAGCATTTAAGTGCTCGAACGTTTCACTGAACGCTTAACTGCGAAACTTGCGTAATTTTCATCTTATATACACTTTCGACAACTTCCACCTGCGGTCGACGCATCACTTTTAGTTTCCTTTAGGTTTTTCTCTAACCATTTTCTGTGCAAACTGTTTTTCAAACTAAGCGTATTTGAAAAGCAAGCAAATTGCTTAGTTTTCTACTGCCACCTTGCTTTATTCTATTCACCTTATCGTTATTTTTCCACCCTCTGCTACTTCTTGCGCCTCTAAAGTCGACTACACATACGCTATGACGACGTGTGTGCTGCTACGAGTTCCGTCTACTTGTTGGACAGTTCCTAAGCAGCTCTCGGCCAGTCAGGATGCCAACTGGAAACGGATAAGAACTCCCGGACAAACCTCAAGTATGCGGCGAGTCGTGCACCGCCTTTTTGATGTTATGAGGCATGTGTGTGTATGTGTGTGTGTGTGTGTGTGTGTGTGTGTTTACACACATGACAGGCAGGACCGTTGTTTATATACTTTCTCGCTTGTGTTCCCTCTTACTGTGCCTGAAATACGTTTCAAAATAGAGAAAAATGTTGCTCTTGCCATATTTTGCATAGTAAAACTGACTGAGCTTATATATTTACATGTAAACCCAAAATGCTGCAATAGCTTTAGTAACCGAGCTGAGGCTATTCGCACACAGTTCTTCCTCCCCCTCTGCCTCTCACGCCCTGCTCATTCCGCAGTTAAGAGCAACGCCCACAGGCCCCGAAACTTTTCAGAGTAAAATGACGCCCCAACTGAGCCCCTTGCCACTCATCCCATTGCAGCACTCGCCTTTGTGTCCGCTCTAGCTGCTAGCGCAAAGAAAAACAACAAAAAAATGTATATATGGAAAAAAATTATAAACCAACAACAAAATATAAGTTGAAAATTTTGTTTGAAGAGGTGCCCAGCGCCGCACCGCCCGCACCACCGCATCCATACGCCTTCTCATGATCACCAAGCACCACTATTTCTCGGTGTGTGCTTGTGGGTGAATGGTAAACATGCTGGAGCCTTAGAAAACGCAGCGCCAAGTGTTGTTGTTGTTGTTTTTCGCTGCTGTTGTTCATCGCTCATGTTGCTAGCGGTTTGCTCAAGTGTCGGACAAAGTCTTGTAAAAATTAATAAGCGTGTAAATTTTATTGTATTGCCAAATACCAGTCCAGTCGCACTCACACACACAGCCACATATGGGCCACAAAACAACATAGTACATACATACACACACACACACACACATTAAGTGTTGTGCATGTGAAGAGTTTTGCTTTATTTGATGGTTTTTCGTTTAGCAGTTTTCCTTTCTTATTTTTTGTTTTTTTTTTTTATATATATTTTTTCCCAACTTAAGCTTAATGGCATCGCATTTTGCTTGGCTCTTTGAACAGTGTCCACAAATGCGCATGCAATAAAAAATAACGCCTTCTAAGAAATTGTCAAGTTCTTAAGTTCATAAGAGCATATAATACGTGTTGTCAGCACGCTTCTAAATTGAGCAAGAAAATTACTTGAATTTTATAAATTTGATCTGGAAATGTCATAAAGTCTACAGAGTATTAAGTTCCTAATTATTATCAAAAAAACTGTGCAATGATATCATATAGAAAGAGATGGAGACACATAGAGAGAGAGAGAGAGAGATTGGGGGATAAAGACAAATGAAGAGAGAGATAGAGTGAAATATATATATATATAGAGAGAGGGAGATATAAAGTGAAATATATGAGAGAGAGGAAACGAAAGAGAGGAGGTGAAAGAGAGAGATATAGATAAATATAGAGAGAGATAGTTTGAATTACATAGAGAGGGTGAGAGGGAGAAAGAGAGAAAGAGAGAGAGAGAGAGAGAGAGAGAGAGAGAGAGCGAGAAAGATAGAGTAGTTCTCTCAATAGAGCTCCTACACCTGCATAAGTTAAATTTCAGTTAAAACATTTTCATTCACATAGTTTCAATTAAGCAGATTTATGTTCTTAATTTTTGTTGTTGCTTTCAAGATTTCGTTCAGATTGTTTTAATGACTTTTTTAACGTCTCTTGCACCACTGTGGCGTCAATGGCTGGCGCTAGTTCTCACGCTTGTTGCGCTCGGTGCGTTGATGGGGACGTTTGCGACAGTTTAAGTTGGAAGCTTTTGTTTAAAAAAAAAACAAAAAAATTACAAAAAAAAAACGCAGAAAAAAATCTGCATAAATAATGTTGCGCTACGCTTGGGGGCTGCTGCAGCCGGGAAGTGTTGATGATTTGATGGCGAATACGGAATGCTGAGCCGGAACGTAAAGTGCCTTAATGGCAGTCTAAAGACCTTGTTCTAAATTGCAGTTAGAGCGCTTTGAAGGCTTCCAGCGACGCAGCGAAGCGAATCGGGACGACGATCTGGGTCGTCATGCCGCCACTCCGAAACTTCCAATTTGACAAATACACGCTCGTCCATCATAAGTCAGGCAAGTTTTGTTCTCATTTTGCTTTTCGATATCTCCTTTCGCTCTCGCTTTTCCTCTCTTTCCCACTCTTTCTCTTCCTCCCTCTCTCTCTCTCTCTCTCTCTCTCTGTGACGACCTAAAACGTACGGCATACGGGTACAGGGTATCTCCTTGTTAGGCACCTCCTACTAAAGCTCTGTTTGTTTGTTTTTCCGGTTAGGAGAGTGTAACTAAACGCGACTGACTGGCTGGTTAATATTTAGCAACTGGCGCAACGACAGCTCATTTATCAGCACGTCGCTCATATTATAAATTACTTGGACAGTATGCACGACGTGCAGCAGCTGTTGCCTGACTCCGAGTGCTATCTGGTGTGGCCAGACCACTGGGGAGTCGCCCTTCGATACGCAGTGGAGCGCAGAGAGCGCTCCAAGCTCACATAGCTTTGAATCCGCAGAGCCCACTCTGGCTCCAGCCTCAGCTCCGTTTGCACAGTGAAGCGTGCCGTGTTTTTAAAGTAATTGAGTCGAAAGTTCGAGGCAGCAATGTGTTAATTAAAACTGAACGTTTCAGCGCATTCAGCGATGCCACGAACAAGAATACGACCAGTAAAATGCTAGACTTATTCAATTGGTTATGTCAACCATGGTTCAAATTAAGGCTTCATTCACCATCAGTTCAACGATCGATATTGATTAAGCTATCAAATTTGACAGTGCATTGAACTCGACCAGGTAGGGCGAACACAGTTGTGAATAAGATGGAAATGAGACAGACAGAGAGAGAGAGAAGCTGTTAGAAATGTAAAGAAATTATGGAATATACAAAGATGTGGTTAGAGGAAAGGATGCGAATGGAAATGGGTATGAGAAAAAGAGCAATCCGGAAAGATGAACGCATAGTAATATATAGATAGTGTAGATATATAGATAGAGGGAGAGAAATAGAGATGAGGAGAGATAGAGATACAGATAGAAATGGAGATGGAGATAGAGAGAGAGAGAGAGATAGAGATAGAGATAGATATAGAGATAGAGATAGAGATAGAGATAGAGATAGAGCCACAGAGAAA